GCCTAGAGCATACATAAATATTAGAGAACACCAAAATAGTTGGAAACAATTGTGACAATATAATTAATGATAAGCAACCCAAATATCTTTATATACTGCACTAATAAAGAACCATAATTTTCTTTTTGACAAAATTCATCTAATACTAGAGTAACAACAATAATTATATAGAAGAGTGTTGAGCTGAATGACTGGTGTATCATATGCCTGGTTTAACTTTAATGTCAGTTATTCATTAACCACTGTTTTGAGGTGATGCAACATACAGTTTTTCATGGTTCACATTGTGATTACTTACTGATTTCTTTAATGTTCTCTCTTCCCAGAATTTTATCCAGTTCTCTCATTACTTGTACAGATTTATGTGCAACTAAATAGGTCATTGAATTATCTAACTTCAGGTTTACCCAAGTTGTAGTAATAATAACCTAATTGTTCTAACAGGTTACTGTTGATAAGGAGAGAGAGGTTTAGACTATAATCAAATTATAATCAAAGCCATGGAAACTAATCTCTACATAGGTTTCTGCTCTATAATTCTGTGATAAAATCATGACATTTAAATTCCAACTGAAATAATGACATTGAAAACTCCAATTATAGTATTTCTCAGGGACATCATCTATACTGTCAAACTTCTTGCATAGAGAAGAATGCACAGAAAGTGTGCCAAAGAATTGAAAAACATGATTCCACTAGAACTGAACTAAAATGATTTTGTCATGTTGGTATCCTGAAACATAAACAACTGCTCTTTTGAGCACAGCTGTATGGCTCTACTTATTTTTCTTTAGGCTTTTTGTAGTCTCAGACCTAGACTGTAAGACCTTCAACTGGCATAAAGAACAAGGTATTTAATTCCTCATTTTACCAGTCTAAAAAAAAAATTTATGAACCCTTATTTCCCTTGGAAGTTCAGAACCTTTCAAGTAAGCACCCTAAGCCCTGTGTTACTGGTAACATTTGTTCAAGATTTTCTATGGAAATTGTACCAATACAACAAATATTTCAATATTCTTTGGGGGCTGAGGGACCTGCCACATCTCAGGAGAGTGAAGAAAGCATCCATAAGTAGAACTCTAAGGTATATTTTGTAAATTCGTAGTTGAAATAAAAAATCCAAGGTAGATTCATGCATTATCGTAAGGCAGCCTTGTTACTGATGCTAAACTACTCTCTTTCCTGTCAGGAACACATAACACAAGTTACCCCATGCAAGCAAGTACACAGGTACCATGGAAATAGTCACACAAAATTGGGGTGGGTGAAAAGACATGTACCTTCATTTTTTAAATTGCTGTGTTTGACTATTACAAAGTCATCAAGTTCCTAGCCAAGCTGAAGGTAGTCCAAGTTCCAGTCCTTTATTATATAAATGTGATCAATCACATCTTACAGAACCCCCCCCAAAACCAAAACCTAACTTATATGCCATATATTTTTTAAATATATGACAACACAGCTGATAGAGTATGATACAATTATGACAAGTTCTCTGTAATTGCATTGTAATACTCTGTCTCCCTTCAAACTCTGATAGGGCACTGAAAAACACACAATAAAATTCCTTCTTATATTGCAAAATTAAGTCTCATTTAACAGACGAATTATTTTCTGAATGAGACATAGACACTTAAAATAAGCAGCCTGTCTTTCCACCTGTCAACAGTATCTGTGTTTTCCTAACCACGAGAGTGTCTCAGTACTTTGCACTCTATACTGGGTGAGTTCCAACAACAATGCAATTGACAGTATAGATATTTTCTTTTTAAAGTTTTAAAATTATATCTGAGAGATATAAATACTGGAGATATGCATGATAGCTATCTCTGATTAAACCTAATCAGCTACCTCTGTTAATTCTATTCACAGATAATTTTATTCTGGAATTAGATCACCCACCACTGATGTTAAGAGGAGACAGTTAATCAGCATCAGTGTCAACTTTAACAGCATCTGAAACAACTTTCCCAAGACACAAGATCACGTACTTAAAGTCTGTACCATAGAGCATAAACAGAAGGGCAGATCCTCACTGAGCTCTACTACTTGCTAAATTTCTGAGCATTTAATTTTTATCTTTAAAGTTTTCATTAAATTTCTTTGGCCTGAGATAATTTTCTAGCTTCTATAGTTGGGTAGATGATTGGGATTTGGTTTTGGTTTTGTTTTTCGTTTTGGTTTGGTTTTTGTACGGATGAAGAAAGAATGTCCATGTTTATGTTTAAGAGGAAAAGGAAAAACCTGTATCAGGAAAAATTCTCTGCTTGATTAGCAATTAACAACAAACCTAAAAGGCTAATACTGAATACATTCAAGAGCATTTTACGGTGTTTCATTTTAATTAGCAGCAAGCGGTCATCATGTGTATCCTTCCATCAAAGCAAGTAAGAAGAAAGGAATATATCTGCATATAAATGAAAAAATCTTGTTAACCCGTAAGAACTATAAATATTCCAGTATTCACTTATCATCTATATCACTAACAATACAAACACTTAGGAGTACATAACCATTTCACTGCTAAAAATGAGTTGTTTTTCTACAAATGTTCATTAGAAACAAGGTATCTCTATCTCTAGCATAATTTAAAAATATACAAGTAAAATCTCAGCTCTTTTTATCTTTTAATTCTGACCCTAATCTGGAAAGCAGTTACTCAGAGCTTTTTTCTCCTGCAGATTCCTCCCGTTCCAGTTCTAGTCATATAGCCTTAAGGACACTGTATTCCATGTTACACCAAGAACTGTACTATAACAAAAAAATTTTCACAACTGCAAATTATTCCATTATTTTTACTTGCATTTCTATTACATTCTAAGAAACGGTATGCAGTTTCAAAATACAGATTATTCAAATGAACACAGACTAAATGAGACTACTGCAGGAGTGACAAACATAGAACTTTTTCTCTCCTGCAACACTGACACTACTACCGATTCCTATTTGTGTGTAATGTATTTTCTACTAACAGTTTTCTTCAGTATAATTCTGACTTATTCTGGTCAACACTAACATCATTAATTTCAAAATAAACATACATGTCAATAATGACGTGCAAGACACGCATACATGTGCATGTGTCCATAAATACAAAATCCCCTCTCATTTGAGTCAAGTATGTGCTTCTGTAAATACAGAAAGGACCACTCTGTGGCAGTGACATCTTCTGGTATGGACATATATCCTTCCCAACAACAGACAACTGTTTCAATTATCACCAACCAACAACTGTTTTTTTTATCATCTGGGCATAACTCATAAAAATCTATTAAAATGTCTATAAAGTTTTCAGGCTTATTTGCTGCTTTATTTGTAAATTAATAACATAAACACCTTTAATATAGTACATGATTTTGATTTTGGTACTTCAACTGCTTAAAAATATATTTTTGTAATATTCAGTTCTCCACAGTAAAAACCTGCTATTAGTCATAATTATGTTCTGTCACTGACAGAAGTTAGGTAATCTGCTAATCATATAAAATGTTATTCCTTCTAAAGAAAATTATTATCCCTCTTAAAGAGAAGGATTAGAAACTCCTAAGGAAGTATAAAAAGAGCCTTAAAGCAGAATCATATTGTTAGTAGACTATGATCTCTTAATTTATGACAGAAAATTATATAGAAAACTGTATGAAAGCAATATCTAAGGATTATGGGTTTTATCTACAGTGTTTACCACCTTTGTATATGTAAAATTCAACATAAAATGGTTTAGTTACTGTATCTCGAGTCACTGATGATGATCTGACTGCATACTAAAAATCTGTATCTGTGGATTTGGCAACTTTTTATAACCCAGGTTTTCCAAAACTACTTTAGACACAGGTACAGGAAAATATTACTCAGACTTAAACTAAAAGAAAATAGAGATCCTCAAGTCCCAGCAGTACTTACCAGAGCAAACCCTTCTAGCACTCCTATAAAAAATAATTATTTTATTGTATTTATTATATTTCTCTCTGTAGAACCTATGATGTAAATAAGACTGCTACCTTCTGTAATCAAACATGGTAAAAATATGCAGTACTTCACAATTGTTGCCCTAAAGAGTTCCCAGTCTAAATAGAAATACTAAGTAAAGAGCAGGAAAGAGTAGTAAAACATGAAAGCATATACAGCAAGGACAGCAAACATCATGTGATTAGATATGATTATTTCCTGGCATATCTAGACCGGCAGTTCACAACACATAAAACCACAAAGAAATTAATATACTAGGATGATAATCTGTGAAAGAGATTTCTTTTCATGAAGTTTTGCTTCCAAAATAGAAATAAACAATTTAAATGTGTAAATACTAAAAGTCTGATGAGAGAGACAGATAAAGTAATAGTACATACAGACCCTCACTGGTATAACCAAGGACTGCAATTGATATCTTGGGACTTGCTATTAGGCAAATTAAATGGTTTTAATGGTATAAAATAAGGGGATTAAATTTTAAGCAGAAGTACTATAAATTTTTTAAAAACTGTCTTGATTCAATTCATTCTTGCTCCTATATTATCTGAAAAATTACCTAGTAATTCAGCAACTGTATAACATTATAGCATATTCGCAACAAAAAACCCCTTGATCTGATTAAATGCACGGATAACATTAAACATACCAAATATCCACAAAAGCTTAAATTACAGTATGTGCCTAAAGTGCGAAACCTGAAAAGGTACATACATATGTAGGTTAACTGAAATACTCTCATTTGCTGCAGTGTAAATCCTTGGTATTTAAAAAAGGGCATATGTCTAGGTACTTTTCCAATGATGATTATATTTAGATAGTACTATTTATGCTTTTTTTTTTCATGTAGAACCCTGTAAAATTTATAAGCCACAGGTCTGAATATATTAAAAAAAGGACTAAATAATTATGATAATAATTCCAACTATGTCTGTGCACTCCAGTAACATCAATTGCAGTTGGGTTCATTTTTCCCTATATAGCCTCTCAAAAAGGCTTTCAGGTGAAAAACAAACCCTCCTTTATGTACAGACCTTCATAAGATTCTATTTCCTTGTCTCCATTGTCTAGGGAAAGTAACAAAAACAGAACAACAAACAAACAAAAAAAAGGAACCAAAGCACAGGGGTTAAAAACAACAGAAGCTTTATAAAAGATACAATATACATGTTAAGGATTAAAAAAAAAGAGTGTAAATGGCCATTTAGACTGATTTTGCACAGCACATGAAGTTATCAAGAAGTGGAAGGGTGAAAATGTATATGCTATCAAAAATCTATTTGTATACCTCTGTTTCTAGACATTCTGGAAAATGTCTCCATTGACTAGTGCTTTTATAAGACATTAAAGATAAGCACAGTTATAGTACCACTAAAACATGAATCATGAAATATCTTGCTGATCTCTTCTATTTTAAAGATTATTATGTCTCTTCTTGCTCTTCCTGTTTCAAGATGCAGGTTTTATATTAGCAATTGGTAACATGCTCCATGTGAACACACAAGTGATCAGCTATCTCCTAACTCCCAAAAGAGCCAGTTTTATCACTAAACAACATAAAAAAGATCATTTCCTGTCCCTGTTTAAGTCAGTGACAAAACACCTACTGAACTCAAAAGGAACAGGACAATGCTAACAGTTAGTCCATCTTGGCTCGTGCTACTATTTGGTTCGTTGCACTACTAATTATTATTGTACTGCTAATGTTTCATTTCAGTCAAGACTACTGTAGATATTCAAACATGATAGAAGAATAGAGAGTACAAAATACTACTATCAAATCCCAATTCAGTACTCAAAAACTCAAGAGATTTCAGCTGTAATGCCCCCACAAAAAAAGAATAAATAAATGTAATCAACCTTCATGAACAATTTTGCAATGTCATTAAGGAGAAAAACATACACTTACTTCTCTCCAACGTCCCCTTTGGTGGGAGCTGTGGTAATTGCCTGCCCCTTCGCCCTACTACTGGAGTACTTGATGGGCTTGTCTGAACAGACCCAGTTCGAGGATGTGACCTATGAGACACATTACAAAACAAACCATACCCATTAAAAGACAAATTCATCCTTAAATACCATCAAGAACCGATAACATAAGTAGGCTTTAGATCACTTTGGACCCTTGAAGTCCCAAAGTGAAATTAGTATCTCTTTTCAGAATTAAGACCTGATTAAAAAGAGCTATCTCTCCATGAAAAAGAAGAAAAGAAAGCCAAACTAAGGCTGAACATTCATAAGATGTTTGTCTGCAGTCAAGCCAGAAAATGCATTGTGTGCATATTCATGTGCACATGGATATAATACCCACATACACATAAAATTATCCACAAGTTAAATTCAAGTATCTTTACTCAGCTTGTATTTGGTTAAATTACCATTGAGAGCCATGAGATTACACAGATTTGTCTGAACAAAGTAATAACCTGAGAAAATACACTCATAGTTGACTCTTAATTCTCACTTGGGATTTGATGTTACTAACTCTAACTTTCAGAAAATAGAAGAATGTATTCTGCAGTACTAAAATAAGGAGAGGCTTTACTGAACATCAACTAGACTGAAATGTACTGATCTTTTTACTATTATGTTTATTTAAGCTAAGAGTAAAATATAGAAATCCTCAAAATGTCAATCAGTAAAGTATAGCACTCAAACAGGAACAATACAGACTATGGCACAGTAAAATGTAATCAGAAAAAATGGTGGTTAAAATGGTAGTTGATAGACAAAATTAGCACAGTCCATTTAAAGAAACTTAAAAAAAAAAGTTTCATTTGATGTTGTTGTGATGGTTGTTCCATAAGCAATGTCTGATGAACACAAACAATTTCTCATTCTGTAAGAGAAGTGTATGATATTTATGAGGTGCTTTATGTGGGAAACCATCCAGGATTCCTGACAAATGAGAAATCACAAACAAATGTAGTTAAATACTGTTAGCAAACAATTCGCAATGGCAGCCACACCATTATATCCAGAGTAGAATATAAATAGTGTGTTGGCACTGAAATAGTATCTATTGCTACTAGTGATCAGCTAAGAATGAGGTGATACCAATTAGCTACTGGGAAAATAAAATGGTGAGCTGGTGGGGCAAAAGGGGATTAGTCTGATTGATTTGTCTGTTTCACCTCGGTAAGGCAGGTGAAGGAGGGGCAGATCTTCCAGTCATTAATGAAGGCATCGACCTGATGAGGTTTGAGTCAGGACGCTCTGTGGATCGGGAGCGGGAGTTGGTCCGCTCTAGCATAGGACGTTGCTCTGTTGATCTGGATCTTTGATATGGCTGTCTATCTGCTGCTTCACAATTCCTGTAATGTTAGTCAAAAAGCAGCTCAGTTGACCTTTGACTTTTCTATTAATTATAAAATATGCTGCATGATACTAGTTTGAAGCAAATACTTTTGTCATGTACATTTTTATTGGGTAAAATTTCTGAGTTCGCTTCTTGATAACATACAGTTTTTTATATATGTATGATTTGGCTTGCTCTGTACTCTTGATAAATGGGCTGAAATGTTTCCAATGTCTCAGTAATGACTATCCATGCAATAGTCTGTATCCTGAGAACTTCTGGGAAAAATACTGTTATTTTAGAATCCTAGAATAGTTAAAGTTGGAAAGGACCTTAAGATCATCTAGTTCTAACCCCCCGGCCATGGGCAGGGACACCACATGCTTTTTCTTATTACTACATCAACGTTGGAGGAAAATAACAGCTGACAATATTGAGTCTCACTAAAGCTAAGGACTCATTTAATTGTGCAGTTTAATTGAGCATTTTTAATCAAATTACTAGATTTTTACAGACTGTATTATCTTTAGAGGTAGTACTCCTGTTTATAGGACAGTCCACATTCCAAATGTTATAATTATCATGTAGCACTGTTAACTATCATCAGACTTAGGATGTCTGTCAAAATAGAGGCTAGAGTATACTGATGGGTTCATAGGCAAGCTTGGACTGTAGTCAGATGAAAATGTACAGCATCATTAGTACTTGCAGAGGTTCCATCAACTAGACAAAGTTTGGTTTGTAATAAAAAAAATAAATAAATTATTCTAATCCACAGCCTAATGAACTTTGCCATTAAAAATTACCATTAGAGATGCAATAGGGAAAAGCTAGACTGACTAGAAGAGAATTGCCTGACCAAGCAGTCAAGTCTTTTACTATCTGAGGCAATTAATCTTGCCATTACTTTCAGAAATTAATCAAGTCCACTTTTTTTCACAATGTAACTGGGCTGTTTACAAGGAGTAATATTTGCTGGCAATACCCTAAAATACATAAAATCAAGGTAATTGTAAAAGTAAAATCCAATCCCTGATGGAGCTACTTATTAAATTCATATTCCTCCCACCTCTCCCTGAGTAACTGAACAGCTATAGAATACAAATGGGGAACATGTACCCTTCAGGACTTCTCCTTGAGTGAAGTCATGCATTTTACAATGAAGCCAGTTAATACAAAGAGTGACTGGATGGTGATTAAGTGTAACAAGAAGCCAAATACTAATTAGCGTCAAAAAAGAGACATACCACAGTCTCACTATGAAGAGCCTTATTTTATTAATAGCATTAAAAAAAAAAAAAAGTAGTGTGACAGAGTATAGTTGTCTCCAGGGTGGCTAACTTTGCTGAATAGGTTGATAAAGAGTCATTAAAATGAATGTTTCTTGAGGCCTTCCATGAGGTCTTAACTGGACTCCTAGAGCATATGAAGGACTTACCACAGACAGGTTCAGAACAATACCATTCACTATGAACCTACATCTATAAGCTCCTAACAAGCAAACACACCACAGCAAGACACATAATGGTAATTATAAGCTGAGGCACTAAAGATTGGAGGAAAAGTACAATGAGCCTGGCACAAAACCACAACAGAATTACCTCTCTTCTTCTTTTATCAGATCTGTTTCTGAATGGGAAGCTTCATCAGCAAAAACATCCACTGTCTCGCTTCTTTTACATTGTGGGTAGACAAAAAAACAAAACCTTAGCTTTGATATGAATGTTGCTTAGTTTAGGTAACTGTTCAAGAGAGGTTTCAGCACTACAGAAGGTGAGAAAGGTGTCAGCCATCTGCATGGTGGTTAAAAAATCACCACGGTAATAAATTCTTAGACTATGGGAATAAATTCCAAGAAAAAATATTCCTAAATTCGATAAAATTACTAACAGAACATCACTGAGGTCCAGACAACCCACCCCTACCCTGTTTACAAACATATTTAAGAAAATTATTGAGCCCACAAAGACCTTCTTTGGGTCTGTCACACACAAAAAGCTGAAACAACCCTTTTACTGCCAGTGAGTGTGGGACTGCTGGAGCACACAGCAACAAGGACAAGGCAATATGGTGAGATGTATAACTCCATTTTATGTTTTGCTCTCCAACAGCAAGTAGGACATAGAGAGGATCAAGTGAGTAGCAACACATGGTTCTTACAAACACTTCACAAGAAGTTAAGCCTCTTAATAAGGCCTCATTCACTTCAGTTGTAGTATCAAATGTATTTCTTAGGATGCTAGGGATCTGACCCATTGCCTTTATTAAAAGGCAGGGAGACTTTTCTGCCACTAGGATCAATACTAATGGCTTGGTGGGCAGGTTTTGTATTCTGCAGAGAATCACAGAGCCACTATATCTAACCAGTATATTAACAGATAAAGGCCTCAGAAATTTCATATGCAACGGGTAATATAAAGCATTTGCCACAATCTGCAGCTGGTATTTACTTCAAGTGGAAAAACAACAAGGAGTTCCCAGAAGTGAAGGAGAACATGGATTTTGGAAGTGAACCCTTTGCTTTTAATGAAGCTTTGGCATCACTTCTTTTATAGACTGAAGGATTTGAAGACTAAGTTGAATCCTAAGTGAAACTGAGTTGTTACCCTGGGTTACAGGCTACATGATGCAAACCTTCCTGTACCCAGAGCTGCAAATGGAGAGCTGTATCTTGATCATACACACAGAAAATACAATTCACAGACAGCTTTATTGTCTGTTCTTTGTCCTCACTTTTATTTTTTTTTTTTAACAGTAAATGCATGTGCTATATGATCCAGGTCTTCAGAAATGAACTGTCTCTTTTATAGAGAAAAATAACACTACAATAACCTGCCCGGGCAGGGAAGCTCTTAATCTAGCACAGTATACAACTATCCATTAGTACCACAATCCAGACATGAATGGGACAGTTTTCAAAAGCCCTTGGTGAATTTAAAAACAGAAGTTGGTAACTTTTTAGATTACACCCTTGAGGGCTTATGCTCCCAAGTTATCTAGATGAAGGTTTCTTCTTTTCTCACTATAATTTGTATGTTTTACTGATTTTTAACTGGAAATAGTCTAAGTTAAATTATTCAATATTCATATGATATTTTAAAGCTGTTTATCTTTGCTCAAATAAATTAATTATAAAAATGCAGTTAGTGAAATGTCAGATAGTGATCTCATTCATTTAGTATTGCCTACAGTAACATCCTTCTACCTTTGGTATGGGAAACATGCATGGAAGGTGGCCTATTCCCCTGTCAAAGTCTACAAGGCTTGTGAGCATAATTCTCCCCTACACTGAGGAAAGAGTACAGCAGTGTTTGCTTCTTAACCAAGCATACCTATCACATTGAAACAGTCTGAACCCTCTTTAAGCCACCATGCACAAAGCTCTGTGAGTATTCACAATCTAATTTTATATACCAAAACCATCAAAAATTAGAATTAGATTTGCATGGTATTTAGGTAGCACTGTAAATTCTAGTAACTACAGTATCTAACCAAAGGTGCTACTATATTTTGTTTTAACTACTGATTTATCTGCATTGTTCCATATCCATATTCTGGAAATTTCAAAAGCTTTTTCCAATGCAGAAAAATAACCATTTCTAATGTTTAATTTTTCAGATTTGTTACTTTCCTTAACAAAAAGGAGAATTTTCAACAAAGTAATACATTAAATTATCTAAACTTATGCATAGAAAAAGCCCTTGAAAATATGAACACTTTTCAAGAGTAAGAAAACATAACAGCTTACAACACAAATAAAGTTATTTTTCCCAATATAACTGAAACCAGTGTATTTGAAAGCCCAAGTTAAATTATTTTACTGTGTGCAAGACTAAAAAAAAAAAAGGTATGAGATCATGCCAAGCACAGTTTTAGTACTAGGTTGTTGTAACAAAAAACTGAAGAAATAAAAATAGAATTGCTGTAGGATTATAGTCCACTACAATTCAGCTCACAGTACATCTTTTTTCATCTAGAAACACTAATCACAAAACAAGTAAAATACAGCTATACATTGTCTAACTATCATGATTTCAAACTCCAGCTAATATACAGTGGTAATACCTGTCAGTGTCTGTGGATGGCTGCTGGATTTCAATCCTTGGACATGTTATTCTTCTACTAGCTATAGGAACTTTGCTGTTCAGTCACAGACACAAGATCCTCTGTTAGCATAACATAGATAAGCATGTCTACAAACAACTGAGATTTCTAGTGGAAAGCAAACTTAAATTTGAGTCGTAAATATTGTAATGGAAAATGGGAAGGAGCAGTATACTGCAAAATATCTAGATAAACTGGTGACTCAATATGTCATCAGATCACTCATCTATACTTATAAAGAAACAATATAAAATTATGTGCTGCTATAGTTTTTAAAATGAAGGAACTTAATGCTTTTAGTCACTCTTGCAAAATAAAAACAGGAAGCAAAGCATGCTTGCACACACTCATACTATCTAGTTACTTGTACATTACACAGTGGTGTATGTGATAACTATAGGTACATCTATATGACAGTCACGGGCATGACTACACTGTAACATGCCAGTATCTGAACTACTTTTCTATCTTCTGACTCAGCTAAACAGCCAAAGCAGAGAACACATCTGCAATCTCAGGCATACTATGCTCCACACACCTACATGCACTGTCTACAGCAGAAACTCAGTTGCTCACTGCTTGCTTAGGTACCTATACGTGGCTTTACAGTCACTTTGGTGACTCTGCTGTAGACATATCTTACCATGCTAACACATGATTACATAGTAAAATTGTAAAAAATATTTAAAGAAAGCACATATAGCTATACCTATAGAGATATACCCTCCAAAATATTTCATCATTGATAGACTTACTGAGGAATAGTAAAGCCCTGCTTTAAGTTAGGAGTTACACCTGACAGTTTTCCAAGGTTCTTTCCAACCCAAATTAGTTAATAATTCTATGGATGCAGTCAGAGATTTATGGTAGCTATTACAATACAATATCCATAAAACTAAGTAGTGTCAATCCTGGAACAATTAAGACTGGAACTACGTGATGAAATATTTCATATCTCTTTACCTGTAAAATCAGACACAATTAATTTTGTGAATTTTGAGAAATAGAAAGCAACTTGTACATTTGAAGGGAAAATGGTAAAATTATGTAAGCAATTTCTTCATAGAAAATCAATATCAAACAAAAAAAGTGGTGAATGGTTTTGAGAAAAAGGCTTCTTCCAGTTAACACTATTTGTAACTGCATTCAAATGAAAGCAAAAATAACAAAATAGATAATAATAATTATTCTTGTTTATTATTAATAACTTTTATAATTACTTATAATAATGACTATTATTAATAACTATTATTGGTTATTATTATCTCATTTGTTGTGTTTGCTTTCATTTGAATTATTATTATTGTTCTTTTACTTAAATAGTTAAATTTATCTAGTTTAAAAATCAATTTCCAGTATTTTATTCATAGGTGATTTCTCAAAAAATTATCTTTACAGGCTATTATTTCCTTATATAAAAGTGAACCAGTGAATTCAAGCATTAAAAATGTTGCCTTATGTCTTATTAATTTATTTAGTTTGGACTAACTTTATCCTATTAACATTTATTCATATTTTTATTCTGTGCCTACAGTACAAAATACTTGGAGGTATTCAACACTAATTGAAAAGTCTGAGAGACACAGACAGATTTTTGCTACAATGTAATATGTTTACTGTTTGTGTTAACATTATTTTTTCTGGTACCTGTAACATACATTTTCATTTATATAGCCAGATGCCTTTTATAGAACCTTGCATTTTCACAACTACTTCCAGCTTTCAGCATCTTTAACATAGACATCCAATTGACACATTAAAGAATAACACTACAGGAACACTTATCTCTGTCTTCATGAGATGACTCACTGAAGATTATTATAAAACTGATTAGTATTCAAAAGCTGGGAACTCAAAATTCTCAAAGAAGAGAGCTGAAAATCCTTTCCTACTCATCCACCCCAGCTCAATTTTATAACTCAGTATACTTCTGCAATTTTCTCCAAGATAATAATCTAAATTTCAGTAAAAATATTAGATATTCCAAAGTAGAAGTTTTTCAGCTGTACATTATAACATCATTACACATTTTTTCTCATTTCAGAACACAGTATTTCACCCACTCAGCTTGAATGTTGCATCACAATGTATGAGCAATGACAGAAACATTCAAGGGTTTTAATGAACATGTATTTCATCATGGAAGAGTAAGTGTTATGTAAGACAATGCATAGAGAGGCTTGAGAGAGAAGCAGTGAGAGAAGCTCATCCTTAGGCTGGAATGTTCAAACGCAGTTCAGCAGACCACATAGACTGTAGACTAACCAAGTGGATCAGTTGTAGGCTTAAAATTAAGCAGGTACTTATATATGCCTCTGGACAGTGTAGCACTAAATGCAAAATTTCAAAAGCATCTGGTTCTTGGTGCTTTTTGTGGGATATTTTTCCTCAGCTCTTAAATTTAACTTTATTTGCACCTGCACACTGTATTTAATTGGCCTTTTTTCAAAAAATATTCTGAAAGGCCAATAATATGCAGACATTTAATTAGTAAATTGTCACAAATAGGGCTTAATACTGCAAATATGTGTTTATCTCTCTTCTGAACTTTTGGCAACAGACCTGTAGTTCTGAACTCACTGAAGTCAACAAGACTTCTGTCACCTGATGAGGCCAGGATTTCCATCAGATCATTCCAAGACAGTTACGCAATACTTCATTGTCTTTTAAGCTCTTAAATTACAAATGAGCAAAATAGCATACTGTTTCTGTTAAAGGCATTCTGTGAATCCACTGATCTTAACAGAATGTGATCCATTTAAATAGTCTTTATTCTATTCAAGTATGTACTATGCCGTATGTTCTACCTAAAGTCATACTGGCTCACAAATGTTCTTATCTTTTACTTCTTTTTCTATAGCTTTTGGGAGCTATATTTAAATGGGGATAGAGAATAGTAACAAAAAAAGGTCTTTTTCAAGTTAAAAATCATTTTTTTTCCTCTGATATTTACCTATATTAGCATCTATACAGTACTAAATCGAAGACAAGTGAAGTAAAGCAGAACTATTTAATGTGACTATCAAAGCAAATACAAAACCTTTGTTTACATACTAAGCACTTTCCAGCCTTCTTCAAATGCTATCCATTTTCAGTACGTTTGTGCACTTTCCCAGGAAGAACTAATAAGCACGGCTCTTGCCATAAGCATAAATTAAGTGTATACTTCAAAAACCTAAAATTGAAGAGGCAGCAAACAGAGGCATGCTGGTTCAAAGAATGAGGGAAGAAATATGGTCTGAGAAAGTCTCTGTGGCCGCAATATTGAGCCAAAAGGCCCTTACAAAGATGAGAGAAACTTGCACCAAAATATTAAAGATTAATTCTGGGATTTTACCATATTATTTTTTTTTAGTTTCAGGATGACAAAGTCACTTATGTTCTCCTTCAGTCTCTGAGTTCCTTAAACAGAATTCCTCTTTTAGTCAATATATACAGAACAAATATGAATCATAATTCTATTTAAATACTCTTAGGACTGCAGATGAACCATGATTAATCCTTTTCATATATAAATTTTCTGGTTTCAATATATGGTATCATTTTATACAGTTTGTTATATTCAACCACGTATAGTCTGTATCCTTCAGTGACTTGTTTTAGGTACATTTCTCCAGAGATATATATTGACTTTTACCAACACAAAAGAATAAATAGGAACACAAATTCAAAGTATGGTCAGTAATTAATTTAGTAAAAAGTAATTAATTCAATATTTAAGCAAAATTTACATGTTATTAACTATTTGCACACAATTATAACATTTGAGACACCAACGCATAGTGTTACTTTGTACAATTTCACAACATTGAAATACAGTGTTGTAACTTCTCAAGGAAAAGTTCCCGGTAACTCTGTGGGAGCTTCACTTAAGAACTCCAGGATTTAATAGCCTTTTGGACTCACACCATATGTTTGTTTGTTTTAGCCAAAACATTCTACAGGCATAGTCTGGATTCTACTTACAAGATGGGGAAAGGCAGAAAGAAGCAAGCTCTGTGCACATTCACAAAGAAAGTAAGTAAAAATAAAGAAGAAAAATGTTGCAAGAGCAAAAAGAAAATGAGGGGGAAGCAGTAAAGCCAAAGATCTAATAGCAAGTTCTAAATCTGTGTGCTCCCTTGATCAGGAGCCAACTGCAGCTGGGAAGAACTGAAGATTGTAAAGCACACAGCACCTTGCATCAATCACACAGGAAGATAGGTTAGACAGTTAGAACTGGGATTACTTCTGAAAGTGGAAAGCATTAGGTCTCAAAGCCACATTCCCAAAACTGTGAATGTAGGCAGGTATTATCAATCAAAAAGCCCTTTTTCATTAAAGCAGCCCTGAACAGTGAGAACACGCTTCAAAAATAGCTCAAACATAATTAATGTTCTTTTTATATTTGTAAAGGAATAAAACAGCTTAATCTTAAAAAAAGACTAGCACATAAATGTGCCTTAGTCCTGAGACAAGAAAGAAAGATATCAAGAAAAATATACTTATTAGAAATAACTTTGGTACAATTATAAATGAACTCACATTATAAAGACTAGAAATATATTTTAGCTATATCTGTAAACTACACTCTTTACTTACCCATATTTTTCAGCTGACCCATTGACTACATGATCTGCCCAAGAACTTGCACCATTGTACCACCTTTACAATGCAGTTAAAATAAAGAAATGTTATAAAGAAACATATGTATTGTTAATAACACTCTAATTCATGACACAACCACTTATCAATAAAGTGTGAAGCTTTCGAAATGTTTCCAAATCAATTTGTACATATCCTATTTTAATCCATACCTTTTTTTAATTAAAAAGCAGGAATTCTTGATGTATTTCACCCTTATTCTTTTCAGTAGTTTAGATATGAATTTTAGTTCTGTAAAGACTAACTGATCGCTTATCTTTTTGGACACAAAAGTCTTCATGTTTTCAATGTCTACTGGGTTTATGGAATAATTAAAAAGCAATTGTGGAGACATAACATTAACAAAATAAACATTCTATGCAACAATAGTTTAAAATACTGATTTTAACTTCAAATACATAACTTTTTCGGATTTTATATTTTTATAGTTGATAGGGTGGTTGGGTTTTAAAGAATTTTAGAAGGAGAAGAAAACTCACTTCATTCAGATCAGACAATGAAAACTAAATTTTATACCTGCATTACTCTTCCAGGCATTGAACATGGGCTATCGAAACATTTTCAACATCAATTCAACTGATCAGTTGAAGACAACATAAAAGACATGTAAAATATCTTAAGTAGAATCATTCAGAAAAGAAAAAAAATGGGACCAAAAAAGCTGGTTCCATTTCACAAAACTGTTTACGTGCCATTACTCCAGTATATTAAGACTATATATAAATCATCAAATATTTGGTTCAAGAGTTTCAACTGGATACGTATTTTCAGGATCTTGCTTGGGTAGTCTTGGAACTGCAATAGTGCTGCTATTCAGGATTTCCACAGGACTATGAACAAGAAGCAAGGCAGTGATTTTCAGAAAAGATCAAGAGACCACCATTTTATTAGCTTGGATATAAATCTTCCTTTTTCTGAATGGAAATACTACCCAAAGTCTGCAGGGTTAATATTTTAATGTCTTGAATATACTTATCCAAAGTTTTTCATTAGTCTGTTCCTGGGAATCACACCAGTATTTTTTGCATGACTCCATTTTATTCCAAACTTCTCAGATTTCAGAATCTGACATTTTGCAATGTGTTATCAAACTAAATAATCCCACACCTCCTGGTCATTATGTTGAGGGAAGACAGCATGGAGTGCGGTATATGTAAACGACACTCAGCTGCTCTTGTTTCTCCTATACCAAATTGAATAGGATTGGAAAGTTTTTTTGTTTGTTTTATTTCCCCATGGTCTGTAGCCAGATCAGTTACTGGATGAAAGTTACTTTAGTAGCTGGAGAATGACAGGTATATGTTTACACACTCCCAGATCATCAGTATCCTTAAAACTGAAGCCAGGCTCTCCAGTTAGCCAGCATTTGAAGTAAGATTCTTTGGTGAAAGTACTTTATTATAGACACCATAGTACATAAGCATGGTTTTAAAAATGCAGTGCACTTTATTTTTTGTGAAATGTGATTGTATTTATTCATATCAATCAAATAAAAACAAAATTTCTTGCTATTAGTTAAAAAATAATCTCTGCCTTATCAGCTCACATACTGTAGCAAAAATCAGACAATGACTTAAAAAGGGAGAAATATAAAAGATCTAATCGTACAATGAGAGAGGAACATCAACTTGCTTCCTTTTTTTTCCAGATTTCTTTCTTTTTGGACTTTGACTATCTTTTTGAAGGTGAAATGCTGTGCTATCATCAAATAACTATTTCCAGAGACACTCCAAAAGTTTTCAGATTACATGTCAAAATTTAATTCTATTGTGTTCGTTGTGATACACTATATGCATATCCAAATTTTGGAAGAACAATAGTACTTTCGATCCTAGAACAGCATCACCCAAAATCAATTTGAAGGCAGTCAGTCCTTTTTTATGTCAATAGGAGCAGTAACATACCAAAAGCTGAGGGCCTTCTGAAGTGACTCAGGTTATTAAAAGAATGAAATAGAGAATTCTAAATTGTCCTGTAATCACCCTTAGTGACAGGAAAGCTAGCCATTAGAAATATACTGCAGTTAAGTAGGAAAAAACCTGCAGTTGTACCTAGCTCCTCTGTACTGCTCTGTTTTCCTCCCACATCTTATGAATAAAAAAAACCAAAGTCAAGGTAATGTGGAGCTAAAAGAAAATGAAGCACTTAAAACCATGGAGATTAGTTGCTCTGTATATAGACAAATACTGCATAAAGTGCACTGTAAATTTAAATATCATTAGTCTAGTCCAATTAAAAATTTTAGACCATACTTCATAAAAAATGTATTACTTAACTTTATCTATTTTTACTATATAAATTAAAATACCTTTCAGGAGTATAGGTTGTGTCGTCATAATATGAATTAGGCACTCTTCTCTCCTGCCTAGTCCTCCTGAATACAGAATAAACAGCACAGATATTTAGGACATTTTAAAGAATGTTTTTCCCATGATGTTTTCCCTCACTCTATTATTAATACGGTGATGAATTTAGAGCACATTCATCTACAGTTCAGCAGTATATTCTGAACGTATATTTTTATATATATGTTATTTTAAACTTCTACTTTCAAATTATATTCAGAAATAATTAATGTACTAAGAACACCTGATCAAATGCACACATATTTCATAGAAGTGAAAAGTTACATCGATAGGAAAACAGTATTTGAGCAACTGTGAAATTCCAAAAATAGGATATGTTAGAAAAATTCTAACTGGCAAAACAAAAGTCAGAAAACAAAATAAAGCAAAATTCTGTTTCTTTAAGTGAAGCAACAAAAATTCTGTCTGAAATAAACCTCACATCCAGCCAAAATGTGCACAGCCCACTTTTTATTGACTTCCAAACACTAACTTCAATGGCTAAGAAAAAAAAAGCAGCACGTAATGTGATGTTGTCAGTGACTAAGCTGAGCTCCAAGACAGATAAATAAGTTGTGAAAAAAATTCATACAGCGAGGTTTTAATCAGATTTTTATTTGGGAGGAACTCCTATGTATTTTTTAAAACAGTTGGGATTAAAACCTTGAGAACATTACTTTGCCACTGAGTCCATGGGCATGTCAGCCAATCCAAAATGGGTGACTGTCAAATTATTAACTATCCTGCATAACTCTATAGGATTGTGAATTGGTGGATATAAATAAAAGCATAAATTCTACATGTCCAGCCATAATGTTTTATGTATGTTCAATCTGAAAAGCTGCAGCAGTGTGAAGTGATACCAGGTAATGCACCTACCATGCTAACTATCACATTAAGGTGTCAAAGAAAATTGGAGTGGGGTACTGAGCAGTAAGGTGCTCTAGATAAAGCCCCAGGTCCAAAGGGCACTGAAGGCCCTGAAGCTGCGCATGTGCCTATCATCATTCTAAGGCATACAATTTCAGTGCCACCTCCATTTCTTTTGGTAGCAAAACAGCTGGACTTCTTCAAGAGGGGGTCCACTATCACAAAGAAAAAATTATGAGTGCCATAGCCTAAGAATAAACTCAGAAATTAAAGTTTTGATAACACAAATGTGACCGAGGACTAATGAATTAAAGATTACCAAAACTAATAAACATAAACTGAAACAAACTTCAGCAAAGATGAAAGAGAGCCAAGTAGTCACACTACTGTTCCCCAAGCAGTGGGAAAAAAAAGAAAAAAATCTTCAGATTTTTAAGAGTTAATGGGCTGGCTGTGAATGACTAAAGGAAAAGTGACAAAAAGAATAACAAAGTTGGCAAGTCATTTTGCCTGGTATATCTGTATGATATATGTGCCTGCAGGACACTCACACTTCTGGATTCATGGCGACATAAGATACATAAGTCTTTCTCCCACATGACAGACCTTTCCCTGAATGCTGGACTTTGCAGAACAATGTTTGCTATTTTGATGGACAGTAAAAACTGGAAAGTTATTTCCAATGCTATTTTGATGAACAGTGAAAACAGGAAAGTTATTTCCAGTGCTTCATAAAGTGAAAGTAAAAGACAGAAAGAGAGGTGGTTGTTTGACATCAACGTGACATTGATTAAGCAAATGGAATTACAAAGACAGGACTAACACCTTGACCAACAAAAATAATGTAACTTAAAGTAAGCATTAAACTGGGAAAAAGTGTGAAGATAAATAAGGAAATACTGTTTAAAAAATAATCTTTTATATACTTCCAATACATGAAGTAAGGAAAGGAAATTACTTAGTATTTTTCAATGGATAAGGAGGAACTGAATAAGGATTATGCTTTAAATGGTCCTTAAAAACCTATAGAACTGTTGTCAGAATACAGAAAGACAAAAAAGATGAAAAATCAGAAAACATTATAGTGGCTCTGAGGTACTCAGAGTAGTTTCTATCTGGTAAGATGACTCAACTTCAACACTAATGTTGCCCACAGGCAGAGTGGATTCAAGTGGACCAGAGAATCAGTATCAGATCCTAGGCCCAAGGAATCTCAAGATGCTGTTCTAACCATGAGCTAGAGACGTTTTGCTTTACACTGAATTTTCTTTTCTGACCCCAGGAGGAATTAGCTTTAATATTCTTGTCTTCAATAAAGCCCTAGAAAGGATTTACTCCATATCACTGATAGAATCACATTTTTTTCATCTTTATGCAATACTGTCACTTTTGCCCTTTATTTTCATTGATTTTACTTTATTTTTGGGAAATTAGTGTCTGTAGAAACAAAGATTATGTTTTGCAAGTCAAGATCCTCAAAGTAAGACAGTTTGATAATAGCTCCAAGTTTCAGCAATATCTGAATAGTCAGACACAGCCAGAAATTTGAAACAGGTTCAGATAAACTGATACAAATATGAGTACATAACTAAGGCAAAAAACAGTATATAAAAATTAATTATTGAAATAGCATATGTATGAGCATATTTCATCACATAATTTCTGAAAACTAACCAAAAATCCCCCTCCTTATTAAAGTTTCAGCATGAAGACTGAACTATTTACACATGTGCGTATTGGGTTTCATGCGAAACAGCATAATTTCAAAACAGTTGTTAAACTGAGTTCTAAATGTTATGATGTCTATTATACTAAAGCTGTGGAGAATTTCTAAAAAGCAATATTTCTTTGGAAGGAATACTTATATGATACCATAAGAGTTAAAGATTTTTTTTGTTTCTTGTTAATAAGTTTTGTACTTACTAAAATTATGGCTATGTTTGATCTGAATCCAGAGCAAACCTTAACAAACTTCTCAGAACTTCTATCCAGAGGGCAGTCACTAAGTTAATATATCAAGAATACTTTAGCTCTTGCTATGGAAAATCTTAAATGGCTCTTCTTGCAAAACGTATCAACCATAATATCTGCTATTTGAGATCTGCAGCCACCACTTTTTACTGGCTCATAGTTTATCTGATTGATATCCTTTATATCTATTCCCACACAACCATGTCGGCTTCCTGTTTTGCAATATTTCTGAAAATATCTTAATCAGAGTACACCAACATGTCTTGTTTACATCTCTTCAAAGCCACTGTATTTCATGTGTAAGTAGGAATTATCACAGGCTGAAATTCTCTCTGCTATATTCCATATGTTCTGTAATAACACACTGGTTATTGCCTGTATTGCCAATGTATACAAGTACTCATAAATTACAGAATAAGCAGAATACAAGTATCTACAACAGAAGCTTGTACTTTTCATACTATTTTCAATTAAGCAAAGTGTGAGATTTCTAAAAGACCATTTTCCTGTGTACTTTGAAGTAGATAGGCTTTTCCTCATTATTTCAAAGAGAATAATAAGTACTATAAGCAATTTGGAAGTTTCTAGCAAAAATCAGGGTTACACAAAGACACTTACATATAATATCCATACAACCTAGTTTATGAAACTGGCTTCTATAAAGCTATTCAGCTTCTTCTGGTATTTGCTCATAGTCCTGAGTAGTCATACATGCTCACAGAGTATTATAAACCATCCTCACTATATGTGTTTAGCACTTAAAACACAGATCATATTCTCAGTTTGGAAATCAAACACAGTACTGTCAAAGTGTAAGTGGCAGAGACAACTATATGCTCTTTATCAATTATACCTCTCAAGGTCATAGTAAGCACCCTCAGAATAGGTACGGCACATCTTACGGGAACGAAGTAATCTGATTGCATCTTCACAAAATAGAGGATACATTGTGTGATCCTGGCTGCCAAAAAGTAAAGGGTGAACACAATGAAAAGCAACACAAAGATGAAATAAGAAGAAAACAACATGAAAAGCAAGCAATGTCAGCAACGGAACAAAACACTGGAACAAAACTCAGCTGGAAGTTTGGGGAATCTTGCAAAACTACTTTTAAAAATCAAGGTATCTTGGCCTGCAGCTGAGACTATGAGAAAGGTCTCACATTCCAATTTTATCTGTCGTAACCTTTAACACAGCCTTACATGTATGGCATAGTGTATATGAAAATCACAGTATTAGCAGTTATTTGTGCATTGATTTTGATATTTTTCTTTATTGAGTTTTTAAAAGACATTAGAATGATGTAAATATAGCATCATCTTCATGGACTACCAATTATAGACTACCGGCAGCAAGAAAATGTTTAAAAAGAGAAACATATGAAACATCAGTGTTTGCCTACACACTGTATAGAGAAAGCTAATGCTGATATTGACACAATACTTCTAAGTTTTCTAGCATTATACACAGACTAATATAATCAGAAGTGGATATGTAGGTACATCATAGAAGTACATGCATTATCCACACAGAGTCACACAGAGAAAAACATATACCTGGCATCTCTGTAATGGTGATCTGTGGACTGGGTGTACCGGGAACGAGGTAAAGTAACAAAATGACTGAGTCAATGGCAGAAAGGAAAATACAAATATGGGAGAGTAAGATGGAGAAGAAATGATGCACATCACACAACAGAAGACATACAAATCTAAAAATACAGGAGCTACAAAAAAAAGCATTGTGTAGAGCAGACATTATTAACAAAATTAGAAATCTGATACACAGCTCTAAAGATAAAATGATCTCAATGATTCACATGTACATTCTGAGAACCCAGTGGGACACATGGATCAAACAGAGAGTTAGAATTTGTGATTTTCTACGTTTCAGTTAGTTAGGAGGACAAAACATATAAACCTCTGAAAGCAAGCTCAAGAAATCAGATTGCCTGTTCTCTTGCTTGAAGGCAGTGATAACTTCAGTATGAATAATTTCTTTGGCAGAGGTCTACCTAATCCATCTGAATGGCTATCACAATTAGGAAATCTGTCCCTGTAGAGCTAGCTCCAGACCTTTCCCATTTCTGAGTTTTCCTAATGTTTATCCTATTGTGATAAAAGGTGAACTTAGATAAAAGCCTTGTTACTATTTAAGTAATAAAGAGATATAACTAACAGAGTATGCC